GATTTACGAAATCCATGATGCTAGAGGAAGAACCAGCTTAGTAAATCCTGCTCTGTAGCCAATCAGTCACATGAGATTTAAGAGGATTTATCATGAATGTTACCAAACAGTCTTCAAGATTTAAGCCTTTCAGGATTTCCGAAATCCGAATTTAGAGGATTTACGAAATCCTACTAAAATCAAATCCAGAATGATACCAAACAGCCCGACGGAGAAAACTAAATATAAAATTTCTATTTCACTTGTTAATTTGCTTACTTTGACAAGTAAAGTTAGATTATTTTATATACTGAAATGTATAAAGGTGAAAAGAAGAAAATAAAATTTTCTGCTAAAATACAAGAACGAGGGGACTCCATTAGAACAAATACGACCATATTATCAAGGATTCAAGCTGAGATGTGCATTTTAAAAGAAATTTTTTGAGTTACGATAAGTTTTAAATTTAATGAAGATAACTCATCTCAAAATGAATTCAGTGAAATTATTTATTGGAAAAGAATTTTTAGGTCAAAATTACACACACATCACATTCATAAGCTTAGAATTCAAGATATTTTTCTTGATAGCCAAAACCCCTAACCAATAAATTAAAATGAGCGGCATATAATATAGTTTAACAACCCTACAATATGGTCAAACCAACACGACCCGAGTGACCCGGGGCTTACAAAAAATTGCAGGTTTTTTGGTAAAAAAAAAAGAGGTCAATTTCCGCTTTTTGGGTCCAAACGTGTCGAAAAATGGTCAATCTCAGATTTTCGGGTAAAAAAGCGATCAATTTTGAGTCAAAAATGTCAACTCGAACCCCACCTGATTTTTTAAACAAATTGAATTATTGAACCCGAATCCGACCAGTTTCGGGTCCGGGTTGTCCCTAACTCGAAATTTTAAGGTCAGATTTGAGTCAGATTTTCGGGTCTTGACAAATATTGACACTCATAATTCCAAACAATTATTAGGTTAGGTGACCTGACGTAGCTCTACGTTCGGACGCTAATAACATGTCGTGACGTGGTCTTACTCAATACCGCGCGGCCCGACGACTTGACCCGAGATTGCTATGTTCGCGTATTGCTCTAGGTATTGCTCGGTATTGCTAGGTATTGCTTGACAATAATGAAAAATATCACTCTGTGAAGACTAATACCGAGCGATATTGCTCGATATTTCTCGGTATTTCTCGGTATTGGTCTTCACAGAATGATATTTCTAGTTATTGCCGAGCAAAATCGACCAATACCGAACAAATACCGAGCAATATGTAGCAACACGCGAACATCGCAATCCCGTGAAATAGTGAGAACACGTGGCACTATTTTACTGGCATATGAACGTAGAGCTACGTCAGGTGACCGGACCAAATAAAAGTTCCATAATTCCGGGAATTAAATTATAATTAATTCATCTTTATTTAGAAACGTATTTCCTTCCACATGGAAACCGTGGAAAATAGCTATAAGGGCAGTTTGGTCTTTTCTCTAGTGATGCGCATTTGACATACATGGCGAGACCCATACATCCATGGCATGCAATCTAGAAACAATCTCTTAGCAGACCGCGGGGTTCCAGATTCAATGAACCGGGATGGCTTTCCATCCAGGTCAAAATCTGACCGCGATCCCAGCTTTACCCGGCCAGATTCTGAAGCGAAAAGCGCGCCCTTGACGAGCGCTGCCAAACCGAGGGTTAGGTGCTACGCCTACCACATATTCAATGAACCAGGACGCGTTTCAGCGACGCTCACGTGACGCGTCCGCGATAGGAGAAACGCTTGTCCTCGAGTACGGCAGGAATCTGGTTCCCACGTTTTGGTTCGAAGGGTTCACGCATTTTTTATTTTTTTTCCCTATCAATATTAAGAAATTAATTTAAAATAAGTATTTATATAATTTAAAATAAAGAGCTTTAAAGTTAAATTAATTGTTTATTAGTATTTATAAATTTATTATGAAATGAATAAGTCATAAAAATTTATTTGATTAAACTAATATTTGGATTAGGATTCTTTGAAGTTAAATTTAAGATAATTTGGATTTTGATTTTGACAAATTTATAGTCAAAAATGAATGTTTCGATGAGATGAGGTAATTGATAGTTAAACCATTTTGATCCAAACAAAATAAGCCCAAATAAAATACCTGAAGTGTATTGAAAACTTCATGATATTATTTAAATAGGCGAACAATCTCTTAATATATTGTGTTATATAATTAAATGAGCATCTAAATGTCACATAACTATTATTTTGACTATCATTATTCAATTACTATCATCCTCAATCATTTTCCAACAATCTCTGCTACATACATATGAGATCAAAATATCTAATTTTTCTAATTTTGTAATCCAGTCTTCCCCCAATAAAGAAAAAGAGTGAACTTTGATCTATAATCCGATAAGAATAAGTTGCTGCTCTGATACTGCTACAGCCTACAACCACCTACATCAAACCTTTAGCCATTAATTATGTTTTTGCAGTAATACACTATTGCAGTTTTAATCCTCAATGTTGATGTATAACTAACTGCAATCTCACCATAGCTTATTTTGACTTAGTATTTAAATAATATCGACAATGCGTTTCTGCTTCTCTGCACCTCTCTTTCTCTATCGTAACTCTCTATGTAAACTACATAAGGTTGAGATATAATATAGTGCAAACCAAAACTACATAAGGTTGAGATAGTGAAAATGCGTTCCTACTTCTCTGCACTTATCTTTCTCTAAATGCGTTTCTGCTTCTCTGCACCTCTCTTTCTCTATCGTAACTCTCTATGTAAACTACATAAGTTTGAGATATAATATAATGCAAACCAAAACTACATAAGGTTGAGATAGTGAAAATGCGTTCCTTCTTCTCTGCACTTCTCTTTCTCTACTGTAACTCTCTATGTTTTCTGCTTAACTAAGGTGTACAGGTTTTCATAATCTTACTCACATTGTATATCATTTTAATTGAGCCAGGTCTTATAATTTTTTCCATTTTTGTGATTTTCATGTAAATGTTTTATTATCTTTTATAATATTTTTTAACCTGTGTCTGATAGATTTTTGAATAAAGTTGAAAAGTTAAACTCTTGATATTATAAAAAAAAAATTCTATTATAAAATATTTTGATACTGTATGTGAGAAATATTCTCAATATTATACAACACTTGCTTATTTTAGCAATGATTATATCAATTAAAGGTAACATAATTGTATAATGAAAGTCGTTTATGCATAACTTCAGTGATCATTTTCATAGAATTGAAGAACAACAAATAAAAATACTTTAATTTTTTTTTTATTAACTAATATTTATACATAATCATGGTTCAATTTGTAATTGAATTTTGAATAAATTTTGAATCTTGTTTTTTTTTTTAATTAATTTTTCAATCCATAATTAAAATCTTGATCATAATGCAATAGTTAGAAGGAAACAAACATGTTGCTAAGGCTATTATGAAAATTACGGCCAACTTTTGATGCCATGAAGGAGTTGCAACTTGCAAAGAGGCCAAGATTATATATATATATGACTTTATCAAAGACAAAGTCATGAGCATTGACTTTATTTTAAAAAGAATTGCATGGCTCCTATTTGACCAGTTGGATAATGGTGTGGTTTTTGTGTGTATGCTTTTGTCTTCTTTTCAAATGAATAGACAAATGTAATTTTTTTATCCTCATATGAAATAGTTGGAAGGATATTTGTCTATTCTTATGTTGTTTATAACTTTTTTTTTTAATATTATATCTTTAAAAATAATATCAGTAAATATAATTTAAATTTACATGACAAGTACAAGAAAATATTTTTTGGATAATTTCTTTTAACTCAACTAAACTCATCAATGCATATTTTGTATGCTATTAGAATTATGGTTAAATATTTGATTTAATTTGATGAAATTCATAAAATTCTAATGCATGAAATATAATATGTAATATCATATTTTTGTTTGAAATTATATTTTTAATTTCTTTAGATCTCTCTCCAAGTTGCCCATTAGAATCATTTTTTCTTTTTAAATCTAAATTTTGCTCTATTTTTTTAGGTCTTTTAGCTCAATTTTTTTCTTAGGGAGATTTGGCATTTGCACGAAAGATTTTCAGTATCTGAGATCGCCAGATCGCATAGTTTGCGGAATCTAGCTGGGTCGGAACGAGATTTTTGATATTCGAGACAACGAACTTGAGATTGGGAGAGATGGCAGATTCTTCTTGCGCCGTTGTCTCCGTGCTTTCGCTCAGATGCGAGTTTTCTGAGGTTGCCATCGTCGAAACGAAAAAAAAAAACAATCAGGTCGAACTTGCTCTTGATACCATGAAGAAGTTCAAGAACAGTAACCAAGAAGAGAGAAGAGAGAATACGAAAAGTAGAAACAGAGTATTTTGATTTTATTCAATGTTCTGTACAGACCTATAGTACTATATATAAACCTATGAGAAGATGTATAACAAATAGAAATGAGCCACGTGTTACACTAAATAATTACAGGATATATTTATTTATACTAATAAGATTCTTTATATTTTTTAATTTTTAGTTATAACTATTCTTTTTAAAGAGATTTAAGAATTCATATAAATATTAACCAACTAAATTATTATTATGCTTCAAATGCATGCACATCATAGTTATATTTAATTTTTGAAAAAATAGAATATATATAGTAATAAAAAAATAAATTTGATTCAATGAATTTATAAATTTTCAAAAGAAAAAAAATTATAAATCTTAGGAATCTTATACTACTTAAAAATTACTAAAAAAATTTAAATTATATATAGTATTTTTAATTTAGCAACTTTTTTTTGGAAAATTTTAGGATTTAGTCATTATTACAATGATGTTACAAACAGGGGCAAAAAAGTAATTTATAGGACATGCATCTTGACTTGATGATGACTACATACATGCATGAGTGGCGGGTCCCCGACTATAAAATCCCCTGTTTCTTCTTCACTGTCGTATCCATCAGGTTTCCAAACAAACAGGAGAGAGGGAGAGAGAGGGAGCGAGAGCGAGGGAGAGAGAGCCCGATGCTTTTGAGGGAAACATAGGCCTCGAGCATTCTTATCTCCCTTCGCACCGGCAACTTTGTACCTTCTTCTCCTCGGCACTCCGCCTTCGGCTCTCGCCCTTTGAGTAGGCGGATAGGAGGCAGAGGAGATAGAAGGGGAAGCTTCTGGAGGCTGTTCTGTTCCGACTTTTCTTTGTCTTTACATTGGGGTTTTGTAAGTAAATGCCACCATACCCTTTATTTTCTCTTCTTCATGAATGCATCTGTGGTTTGGTTTTGAAGTTCCTTTGATTCATGAGGATTACTGTGATAGTTATATTTTCCGGTGGAGAAATTGATTGATATTGGACGGAGTTCTTTCATTCTTCTTAATTGCTCAATTTTGGGTAGTATTAGATTTTTTTTTTCTAAGAACATGTCATTTTTTTTTTTTTTGAGAATTTTAGAATTTTGATTATTCTGAGAATTCCGTGTTGGGCGGGGAATGAAAAAATTAAAGAGAGATTTAACTGGAGAAGGATTGATTATGGAGAGCAGCATGAGATTTTACTATAGGAAGGGTTTGAGAGCGTGAGTATTTTAACAGTTGGAGTTCTATGCTGAGCCCAACACGGAATTATCAGAATAATCAAAATTCAAAAATTCTCAAAAAAAAAAAAAAAAAAAAAAAAAAATTAAAAAAAAAAAAAAAAAAAAAAAAATTTCAAGACTTCTTGGTTGGTAGCCAAAGACGAAGTTGAGATGCGTCCGAATTCAGAATAGAATATTGGGCATGTTTTTATGCAATTATGTTTCCCCATAAATAACGTCTGAGTTATAATACGAAGCAATTAATTTTCTTCTAATGGTAAAGCTAGGATGAATCCCTTCATTATATGATTTATGGCATAGCATGAAACTCCTGAAATAATATCAGGATAGAACCTGCTTGGGTTTGGAAGGATTGAAAAATGCTTAACTGCTTATTATTAATTATAATTTTCTGCAGAGCAATTACATAAAATGGTTTTGTGGGTCTTCGGATATGGATCGCTCATCTGGAAACCTGGTTTTGATTTTGATGAGAAGGTTTTAGGCTTCATTAAGGACTTCAGGCGTGTGTTTGATCTTGGTAAGATAGTTCCCATAGTATAAAGAACCACTTTTGTCTGCCATGAAACTGATGTTAATCTTTCTCGCAGCATGCATAGACCACCGAGGTACACCTGAACATCCAGCAAGAACCCTCACATTGGAGCCCAAAGAAGGAGCAGTTTGTGTAAGAGGATCCTAAACCTTCTCTTGTCACATTAGAGCCCATAGAAGGAGCAGTTTGTCTAAATCCACTTTGTTAATGGCATTTGACAATCAGAATATGCCATACACGTTTCGTCTTGCACATATCAGTTACATTGCAATCCATTTACTTTATTAACGCTCAACTTCTAGTTCAAATCTGCGAGGAATGAGCAGTCTAAAATTTAAACTTAGATTTATATAGATTTAAGCAATTGTAATTTTGACATGGCAAAAAAGGTGCAATTTGTGTATTAAGGTTTTTTTGCTTTTCTGACAGTGGGGTATTGCATATTGTGTTAGAGGTGGCATTGAGAAAGAAAGAGCAACAATGCAGGTTTGAGCTTTGAGATGCGTGCTTCGCACATATACCACATGACTGAACATTACAATTCAATTCTTTTTTGTTACTTAAATTTCAGTATTTGGAGAAAAGGGAGTGCGAGTATGACAAGAAAGCATTGGTCAAATTCTACAAGGTTACTAAGAGTTCACTTGCTGCCTCTTGCACAAAAAAAATTATTACGTGCAGCGTCCGGATTCATCTGGAGACCAATAAAAATACGTCACGTACACTCTAAAAATGTACCGCGCTTGATACCGATCAGTTCTCCCGTCCGGTGTCCGCACATAATAATTGCTCCTTGCATAGAGATTCTGAGGAGCATTGTTTTTCAGGTTACATATTTTTCCTTCCCTTCTCATGCCTCTTTTGTGCTTTCTTGTGCAGGAAGGGGAAAGCCTTAAGCCATATGTGACTAATGTACTCATGTAAGAAACTTAACATTCCTTGTAAAAATTTCATATTAAATTCTGAAATTTATTGTTCAAATTTCAGCATATTAATACCATTTTTCATCATTTCATTGGAAGCCTGATATGTGGTTGCTATCTGTATATAGATTCATTTCCACTCCAGATAAAATATCCAATAGATATTATCTTGGCCCCGCTCCCTTGGAGGAAATGGCAAGGTTTGGCCGCAACTCTTCTAAATTATCTATCATCCCCATTGTATTATACTTTTGAGCTGATTGTCATATCTTACACATTTCAGACAAATTGCTACTGCAAATGGTCCTTGTGGTAACAACAGAGATTACTTGTTTTATTTGGAGAAGGCCATGCTTCAAATAGGTAAGAAATATAGCTTAAATCAAATCAGAGTTTTATTTGGAGAAGGCCATGCTTCAACAGAGATTACTTGTTTTATTTGTAAATCAATGCAGGACATGAAGATGAGTACGTGACTGAACTAGCAAATGAAGTTCGACGAGTTCTTGGAGTTTTGAAGGATAACAAGACATTTGAACCTCATTTTGCTGTGAAGCCCTGGCTTTCACTCATGAACACTGTACGCCTGCTCCAGAGGCGACTGTTCTGGATTCGAGATAATAACCAAGCAAATTCTCCTTCACTACCTTCTTGACAAAAAATGAACTAATTTTACACCATTATATCCTTACATTGTTAGCCTTAGCTATAATATGGCTCACTTAGCACCCTTAACCAGGCAGCTACATTTGTATCATTTGAGAAATGAAAAAGAAAAGAGATCTTTGTTGACCAAAATCTGTAGTTTGTTTGTGATTGACTTCCATCTAAGGAAGTATTAGAAAGTTTACAGATAGTGGACCTTTCTAATGAAATAATAGTAAAATTTTGTAATATTAGAGTAAGAAGATTGAATCTCAGAGATTGAGACAGAGTCTCTCATGTATGCTATAGATTAGCTACTGCTCTCATATGACAACTCTTTCTATCGAAAGATTCAAACCATCAAGCAGGAGAAATTATTCTATGCAATTCAGAGATCAATTAGAATGCGTTAAATCATTCAACACACAATGATACCAAACACTAGTATCGAATAAAAAAATGATGTGACGTGTTATAATTGATCTCCAAATACTGTTGGGCGTCGGCACAGAATAAATTTCCATCAAAAGTAGAAGAGCAGGAATTTTGCACCTTTTGATATTTAAAAATTTAGAAATTTCAAACTAAAATTATATAATTTGCTTAACGGTAATATCTTATATTTCACAAAATGTTCCTCTTTTTTTTTTTATCATTTATTTATATAATTTAAATATTTATTAAATAGTTTGAACAATTATTACATAATCGTAATTTAACACGATTGAATCTTAATCAAACTTTCAAAAATTGAATATTTCCTTCCTTAATTCGATTCAATTTTCAATCCAAATATCAAAACCCTGATTTCCTTATCAATCTCTTTATCCACCATCATGAAATAGTACAAAATGTTCCTCGGTTTTTTTTTTTTGTTGCTCAAGTGAAATAAGCAAACTAGACAAGCTGGTCAAATATAATTGCAAAATACTTAGAGACCTTTTTTTTTCTCTCTTTCATACTGGAATGTTGGAACATCAAGATATATACAAATATATATACCTGAAGCCTATTTCTTTGTTGTTTATGTATTTATCTTATTTATCTGACTGCAATCATGGCAATTGCCTGCGTCGAATCTTCAGATAGCCAAACTTTCCAGCACCTGGAGATGAGCCCTCAAAGATGAGAGGAAGATAGCCGGTGGCTGCTTTGTATCTTTGTTGGAGCTGTATATTTAATTCAAACACAAAATTTCAATGTAAGAAGTCTTGATTGAAAGATTAAATCTACATTGAAAGATTAAAAAAAAAAAAACCTATATTAAAAGATTGGCAGCTCGTACAGGAATATGAGAAATAAGCAACACAAAGAACGCAACGATTTACGTCGTTCCGTGAAGATGTCTACGTCCACGGGGAGGAGATGATGATTTCACTATATTTAAAAAAAATAAGGATTACAATAAGCTCTCTCTCTCTCTCTCTCTCGCATATAACACCTCTCAATCTTTCAACTTATAAATTTGAGGTGAACAAAATATGGAAAAAGCTTCCTAATTTAATCCCCAAGCAAATCACCTAACTAGGAAAATAATCAGCTCCCTAATCAATTACATTAATGAGTAATCAAAGCCTTTTAAATCAAGGCTAATTTGAATTTGGAAAGATTTCCAAATCAATAATATCCAGCTCATCTTTCACTTCATAAAACGGAAGATAACAAACCAGACTCCAATATTAGAACGATTGTTCCAAACGGTTGCCTCTGTACCCCCCTCCTCCCAAGGAGAAGTTATTATGTGCGGACATCAGACTGTTCGAAGACCAACCAGAACGCACCATATCACCCGGTACATAGCGGCACCGAGCACCGGTACTGAGAGAAAAAGTGACATGACACGTTTTGGTTGGTCTCCGGTCACAGTCCAAAATCCGTGCAGAATAATTTTTGCCTACCAAGAGATCAAGTCAAACGTAATTCTTCAAAACAATTGGACAATCAATCATGAGTCATGCACCATTGTCGTGGTGATTGCCTCTCCAATATCAAGCCTATATCAACTGTACCCTTTAGATACCTCAAGATACTATTCACAGCTTGCCAATGACTCCTGTATCATGTATGAACCTGCTCACAACGCCAACTACTGCGCAACGTTTGGATCGAGCTGCTCCTAAATCAGACTATAATGTATTACAAGTTCCAAGTGATCATAGGTCGAGGATGCTTAACCATTGAGGAGAACACCTCATCATAAACGATCCCTTCCTGTTACGCAAAGCCTTTTTCCACCCACCTAAAACCTTGTACCACACATTAGCTCCATGAGATCACTCCTTTGCATACTCCCATTTGCACCAAATAACTTTCCTTCAAGGAAGAAGCTTCACCAATTTCCAAGTAGTATTCTCCTAAAGAGACTCCATCTCTTCATCTATAGCTCTCTTCCACAAATCACCATTAGGACTGTCCATTGTTCTCTTATAGTGACTAGGAACTTCAGCCTCCGTGGCTGAAAGTGCAAATGCAATGTGATCCCTTAACCAAGATGGTTTTGGGACATTCTAGCGCCTTGACCTGCTCCTCGTAATATACTCTTAAGATGGAATTTCATCCTCAACATCATCTTCTACCTCCTGATCTGCAGCTGAATCAGATACCTGGGTAGAAGTGATATGTCTCTATGGAACAAATTGAGTTGCATCAACCTCTAACTTCTACAGTGCATCTGTGGTATCAAAAGAACTCTCCACCTACTTAGAGTCCCAAGGTTTCAGCATGATCACCTCGTCAAATATAACATCCATGCTAATAACAATCTTCTTCTCTACTAGATCATATAGTTTAAAGTCCTTGAATCCATGCTCGAAGCCAATAAAGATTGCCTTCTTTGCATGTGGTACCAGTTTATCATTCTGAACATGATAGTAAACTGGACATCCAAACACCCTCAAGTTCTCATAATCTCTAGCAGAATACCCATACCACATCTCTTTTGGAGTCTTCTTCCAAATAACTGCAGAAGGCAGACAATTCACTAAGTGACATGCATAATCTATCATCTCAGCCCAATAGACTCTTATCATACCCAACATTGGATAACATATACCAAACTTTCTCCACCAAAATTTTATTCATCCTCTCAACCACCCCGTTCTGCTACGGTGTCTCTCTAACAATGAAGTTATGCTCTATCCCAAATTTCTGGCACTCTTGCAAGAATGCGCATACGAAGTTTATTCACCTCCATTATCTGATCTGATACACTGGATCTTTTTGTCAATCTTAGTCTCAATCCACTTCTTTTAAATTCTGAAAAATCTCCAATACCTCACTCTTGCGCCTCATGGTATACACCTAAACATATATGGAGTAATCATTAATAAAAAATAAAATATCGCCCACCCCCTGCCTTTTTCCACCCACCTAAAACCTTGTACCACACATTAGCTCCATGAGATCATTCCTTCTTTGCATACACCCATTTGCAGCAAATAACTTTCCTTCAAGGAAGAAGCTTCACCAATTTCCAAGTAGTATTCTCCTAAAGAGACTCCATCTCTTCATCTATATCTCTCTACCACAAATCACCATTAGGATTGTCCATTGTTCCCTTATAGTGACTAAGAACTTCAGCCTCCGTGGCTGAATGTGCAAATGCAATGTGATCCCTTAACCAAGATGGTTTTGGGACATTCTAGCGCCTTGACCTACTCCTCGTAATAGATTCTTAAGTTAGAATCTCATCCTCAGCATCATCTTCTACCTCTTGATTTGCAGCCGAATCAAATACCTGGGTAGAAGTGATATGTCTCCATGGAACAAATTGAGTTGCATCAACCTCCAACTTCTACATTGCATATGTGGTCTCAAAAGAACTTTCCACTTACTTAGAGTCCTAAGGTTTTAGTATGATCACCTCGTCAAATATAACATCCCTGCTAATAACAATCTTCTTCTCTACTGGATCATAGAATTTGAAGTCCTTGAATCCACGCTCGAAGCCAATAAAGATCGCCTTCTTTGCCTGTGGTTCCAATTTATCATTCTGAACATGATAGTAAGCTGGACAACCAAACACCCTCAAATGCTCATAATCTCTAGCAGAATACCCATACCACATCTCCTTTGGAGTCTTCTTCCAAATAGCTGTAGAGGACAGATGATTCACTAAGTGACATGCATAATCTATCATCTCAGCCCAACAGACTCTTATCATACCCAACATTGGATAACATATACCTAACTTTCTCCACCAAAGTTTTATTCATCATCTCAACCACCCCGTTCTGCTTCTGTGTCTCTCTAACAGTGAAGTTATGCTCTATCCCAAATTTCTGGCACTCTTGCAAGAATGCGCATACGAAGTTTATTCACCTCCGTTATCTGATCTGATACACTGGATCCTTTTGCCAAGCTGAGTCTCAATCCACTTCTTTTAAATTCTGAAAAATCTCCAATACCTCACTCTTGCGCCTCATGGTATACACCTAAACATATATGGAGTAATCATTAATAAAAAATAAAATATCCCCCCCCCACCTCAAACAATGTTGTCTTTGTCGGGCCTCAAACATCTATTTGAACAACTCCATATACCCTTTGTAGTGTGGATGATATACCAAAGGATACCATTGCCTTTTTTCCATACAGACAATGTTCACAGAGATCAAGCTTGCAGATGCTTGCTCCTTTGACCAATCCTTGCCTCACCAAAGTCAGTTAGAAGAGCCTGCTCACATCAGCTAACTCTCTCACAGTACCATTATGCATTCTGATGAAGATGCTCCCTACACCACCAACAATACAACAACCTTGATCATTTCATATAGTCACAACACCACTATCAAGCTTAAGTACAAAATAACTTCCTGGTGGGACAAATGTGATAGGTAGCACCGGTATCCAAAATCCACCATGAACCATCTGAATACAAACTCTATGAAACTGTAGATATTGATGCATCTGAGTCTTCGTCAAGCTCTTCCACGCTAAGGTTTGCATTATTCTCAGTGGAAACTCCCTTTCCCTTCTCCTTCAACATCCAGTAATCTTTCTTCCAATGGTCAGTCTCTAAACATAAAGCAAACATATTCTTCTCAAGATTGTGCCTACGAGACTTGCAGCCCTTTTTATTCTTCAGTTTCTCAGATCTTTCTTGTTGTAGTGTGAGAGCCTTAGTCAAATCCATCTTTACAGATTCCTTGTCCTGATATTGGAACTCGTGATTCAAGAACACAAGTCACCTCACTATAGTTCAAGACCTCCTTCCCATGAATAAGTGTCATCGTGAAATTTTTGTACTCATCCGGGAGAAAATTAAACAGAAGAAGTACCTTGACTTCATCTCTAACATTTTCATCCAAATTCAAAAGATATGCTAACAACTTTACAACTTTGTAAAGCCATTCAGATGCTCATATATTGTAACCCATGTCTCATCTGAAACCTGTACAGCCGGCGTTTTACATGGAGACGATTTTCCACGCTCTTTATCAGGTACTTATTCTCCAAAATATTCCACAACGTCACCGTGGAGGTCTCCATGGTCACCCTATACTTAATCTCCTATGATAGACAATTTCTGATCAAGCCACAAGCACTTTGATTCATCTTGAGCCAATCTCTCTCTAAAATCTTCTCATGACATTCATCGCTCTCCAGAACTTTCTCCAAATTCAAAGAACATAGCATATCCATCACTTCACATTGTCATATGCTAAAGTTCTCTTTGCCATTAAATTCAATCATATCAATTTTGACGGGATGTGTAACCACCTGATTGATTGACACCTTCTCCATCATTGAGGTATATGTATCCATGACTCCACCGGATTGCATAGCCTCCACCAAATTACAACTGCTCACTACGACGCTAGAATTACACCAATCTGACACATTTTCTACTTTCAAGAGCGACCCAAGAAAAAAAAAATCAAACACAACCACAAAATAATTGTCTCGATTCAGCTGGACTCAAGATGTCCTTGCTCGCTCCTCTAATTCAGTTCGGTTTTCAGTGACCAAATAGCCCAATGTTGGTGTTCCTGGTCGAATATGTGATTTTGACTTCCATGCTCTGTGCAAGCCAAAACCCGGGCAGTTTGCCTCAGCAAATGCACGCTAGATCTGCAGCGGTGTGAAACCCACGCACAATTCGCTTGCACCGCATGCAATCCCTGTACATGATCTGCCTTCCGTGACTTACGCCCATGCGCAACTAGGCTTGCCGCACGCGATCGCTGTGCTCGCGTGAGTTTTGCGCCTCTAAGCCTGATTCGCAAACCATGTTCCGCGCGGCCTCTGTGCTCAATCTCTCGCCATCTTCGCCTAATCGAATCGAATGAGTAGAGAACGAAATCTCCTGATCTTCACGTTGTCACCCGATTGTAGAAATCCAGCTCTGATACCTGTTATTGTGCAAACACATCGAAAACAACTAGAAATCACAAAATCAACACACACAAAGAATAGGACAATTTCCTAATCTAATCCCCAATACATTCCCTAATCAAATAACCTAAGTAGGAAAATAATTAGCTCCCTAATAAATTACATTAATGAGCCATCAAAACCTTCCGAATCAAGACTGATTTAGATTTGGAGAGATTCCCAAATCAACACATAATGCATATTAAAAAAGAAAATTTTGATTTAGAACAACATTTCCTTTTATAAAGATAGGAAAAGCAAATTTTATTTCTATGATAAAACAATATTACTAAATTTTGGATTATATGAATTAATGAGAACCTCTTTCTAGCAGAAAAATAAAATAATCTAAAGCCAGAGCATTTTCTTGTTGCTTAGACAACATACAACCTCTTACGATTTATTTAGGATTACTTTTATTTTTTGTTTTAAAAAATCTTATTTATTTTGATGTGTTTTTGATAACTTCCTTATTTTAAAAATAAAACAAGTTGTTTTTTAAAAACACTAAAATAATTTTGAAATATTTCAAAAATAATTATCATTGTCAGCCACCACCACCGCTTCTGTTAGAGACCACCACCACAATCGGAAACAACCGTTGCTATCATCGACTGCCGCCACTCATTATTGGCAATCACTGCTATCCCTTTGATGACCGCCGCCATTACCATATAGATCAACTTATTCGATATTCAATAAAAGCAAAATAACAAATTTTTAATATCAAACATATTTTTCTTTTGGGATAAAATATAAACAAAAAAAGGTGTGATAATAAACAGCAACTTAATAAATAAATTTCTTCTAGAGATTATTAATCTAACATTAAACAAAAGGATTAAGTTACCTCAAAAATCTCTTCACTGCTTCGAAGGCTGTTTCTTCCTATGACACTGACTGTGCCGCCGGATCCACCTCCAGTAATTTTTGCTCCAAATAAGCTAGATCTTCCATCATGAGACGATTTCCGAAGCTGCATTTCTTGCACAATTTTGACAAGCCTATCTGTTCCATCTGAGCCGAGTCCACAGTCACTATAGCTATAATGGCACTGTAAAACATGCAAAAAAGTTTGAGAAACGTTGAACAAAATAATTATTGCATGTTTGGGATAATCAATTTCAGAGAAGAACCCACTGATAAGTCAAATTTTCAAATTGGAATTTGGAACAAAATCAACATGCATGCCTTAACCAGATAACAAAGGCTGTTATTACTTTAGTTTTCTAGTCAAAGGATATTATGAAAAGTTGAAAACTCTAATGTAAACTGCACTAATGGGCAATAGGTATAGTGATGAAATGATGCAGTATAACATGAAATAGATTTATACCTGATACATAAGCTCTCCAAGTGTTGAAAGTTGCTCATCCGTTGTTGCTGCTGTCAATAGTGCTTTGAAGGTCTGTAACATAACAAAAGAAGAGGATAAAAATTTTTAATATTTGAAAATCATATCAACCAAAAAGGTCCAGAAAAAGGGAATCCAAAACATGCAAAGCAAGAAAATTTCTAAATGAGTGCTCCTTAAGGAAACTATTCAGAAGCTAGCTGAAAATCTGCAAACTCAGGTAGATTTTGATAGTTATAAAGTTGCTCATCCGTTGTTGCTGCTGTCAATAGTGCTTTGAAGGTCTGTAACATAACAAAAGAAGAGGATAAAATTTTTTAATATTCGAAAAGCATATCTACCAAAGAGGTCCAGAAAAAGGGAATCCAAAATATGGAAAGCAAGAAAATTTGTACATGAGTGCTCCTTAAGAAAATTATTCATACTCAGGTAGATTTTGATAGTTATAGTGCAGATTGTAAATTTAACATTTTAAGAGAAATATGAATGAAGACCAATTATAATCTTTCAAAACAATAAACAGTAAAATAGTCCTAGTAACTAGCTTCTGATATTTGTGATACATGAATGATTTTTGTAAGAAAATATCTCTAAACTTAGAAAGGTACTGAAAAAAAAAGGGCTCCCCAAAATTTCCAAGTAATCCTTTACATCAAGTTTTTTCATGTCTTGCATGTAAAATAAACATAGTATTATAAGAAGAACAAATAGCTATGGTCTAGAATCAACGTTTAAGCTTTGTTTGAGACGGCTTTCTTATTGCTTCTTAAAACAGGTTTTTAGTACAAAAAATTTAGCAATAATTTTTTTTTTTAATTTAAAAACTATTTTAAGAAGCAGTAAAAAAACCGTCCCAAAAGAAGTCTTAATATCTCTATGTTCACTAATGATAGTAGATTTTTAGAAAGCAGACTTACTGGATGCTGCTACTTTAGAGATGTTATTTCCTTAATAAAATACCTTGATCTCTAGCGAGTGGCAACTTAATTTTGAATGCATACCTAAGCATAGTGGCGTTTTGTTTGTAGGATGGAAAATTCCGATATATTTTCATATTAATAACTCTTTACTTGCGAATCTTTAGGTTTTAAGAAAGAATTCTCCTGAAATCATTGAATTTAGTTCGAGACAATAGTTACCTAATTCAAACATATATGTAAAGAGGTTATAATAGATTTATCTCGTTAAGTTGGAATATAAATTCTTTATGGAACCAAAATGATGACTAATGCATGAAGGAGATTAAAAAGACCAAATCCCACCTCCACACGGAAATTCTCATAGATGGGATGTTTAGTAGCTGCCTTGACTCCATAATTGTGCTTGGGGTCAATGATGGTAACCTTGTCATTATGATCACCATATTCTTTCAAAAATTGCTCCCCAGGTATGCCATCTGGAAGTTTTTTCATGTATGCAGCTTGATATCTGCATAAATAAAAAATGGAAATTAAGATTTGGACAATATTTATCATTACAAAGAAGACAAACGCAGATAACTCAAAAAGTAAATATTTACAAATACAACATTATATATCTTCTGGTAAAGCATCACCTATGAGTTGAAAGATTGCACAGATATTCCAATGAAGCTTCTCTTTTAAGAAGTTCAACGCCAAACTCTTCATATTCAGGGTTTATTTCATCAACTTGCTGTGTGGCATCTGCGCAAGCTACCTTCAATAAGGCTGTAGCTTCAGCTTTTATCATTTTACGCCCCATGAAGGCACCCACCCTTACTGATCCATAATCTCCTCCGCCGACACTGTAAAGCACACATAACTTCAAAGATAATTAAATAATCCATTGATACTTAGGATTTAAAAAGCAGGTAGTCAAAAAACATTTTAGTATAGAGTTGACTTTTACCTTGATAAACAGAAAGCCCATACATTCAAAATAGCTGAAGAAATAGCCTATAGTTTATTACAAGTAGAACCATTAGAAGCACCCAGAATCTAGGATGTGATAACGTTTGAGTTTTGTAAAGTTTTGTTTGAAAAAATGACGCTTAGGCATGAATCCTGCCTTGCAGATTTAGGATTCCATTCTCTTTAAAGTAGATTGTAGTTAAACAGTTTTCCCCTAAGAGTAATATCATGGTTTATTTAGATATAGATCATTACTTCCTATGAGCGCAAGCTCTCATAGTTAATTACCCATCTTACTGCATAAGAGAGAAGTCTGAATTAAGGATGAACAATTTTAGGTATTTTTGTCTCAGTTATAAGGGAAATGGAGGTAAACCCGATCAAGATCCATGGTTCCGTCGTCCTAAATATACCGTAGTTTCAGTCTACCAACACTAGCGACCGTTGATCGAAGTGTACAGGGAATCTTATTAGTAGCCTAGGTTTACTATAGGAGGGGTGGCGACAAAGAGAGAGGGAGAAGAGTGGGGTTACCAAAACTTCAAATTCAAACTCTTTGGAGGTAAAGGAGGGGCGGCAAGGGCTCCTAAGTCATTTAGCTTGATTAATTAATTGTATGCTTTAATTAAGATGAGAGAATTAGGGTTAGGGTTATGTTTTGATTATTGATTTCTCTTGGGTTTTTCTTCTTGGTGTCTTGGGCTCTAGATTCATCGTCTAGAGATTGGGAGAGATCAATCCTCCTCTTGAATTGAGGATCAATTGTGTCTTGCTTTGATTTCTTCTTTCAGTTAGTTTGATTCTTGCAATAAAACTATTGGTGTGATTTTCCCTCAGATTTTGTGAGTTTGTTCGCTGATTTTGTCTCTATTAATAGAAATACTTGAGAACTACAAGTATTTCCTCAGGTCTTCATAGTGGAGACAGATGCTTTAGGATATGGATTATGGGCAATGCTCATGCATGATCATCAACCCATTGCCTATTTCAGCCAGGTGTTGATAGCTAGAGCTCGGTTGAAATCAGTTTATGAGCAGGAGCTGATGGCCATCATATTAGCCATCCAGAAGTGGCGGCCATACCTATTAGGTAGGCATTTCATCATCAGAACATACCAGCGAAGCCTGAAGTACTTATTGGGGTAGCAGATGGTGACAGAGGAGTATCAGAGGTGGCTGTTCAAATTGCTTGGATATAATTTTGAAATCTAATACAGGCCAAGAGTGGAGAACAAGGCGGAAGATGCCTTGTCCAGATGTATGAGAGAATTGCAAACGACAACAATATCGATCCCATTGATGTTCGATTGGGAGGACATCAAGAAGGAGAGTGCCAGAGATGAGGAGCTTGGAAAAATCAGGGCCAATTTACTGAGGTAAAGGAGTATCCACCCGGGGAATTCATTGGAGGGGGAGAGACTGTTGTATCAGGAAAGGTTTGTGATGCCTAGGACATCCGCCCACATTCCACACTTGCTCCAGGAGTTTCATGGGAGCGCTGTTGGGGGTCACTTAGGGGTACAGAAGACATACAGGAGGCTAACATCAGAGTTGTATTGGAAGGGGATGCATAAGAATCTGGAGGAGATGGTAGCCATTTGTGAGATAAGTTAGAGAAATAAATACATGGACATGTCTCCATGAGGATTACTACAACCGTTAGCTTTACCAGGAAGGGTATGGGAGGAGATATCCATGAATTTCATAGACGGGCTTCCCGGATCAGAAAGATTTACAGTGATCCTAGTGATAGTGGATTGATTGAGCAGGTATGCTCATTTCATTCCCTTACAACACCCATACGCCTCAGTGTCAGTGGCCTCAATTTTCATCAGAGAGGTGGTCCAACTGCATGGAGTACCATAGGCTATAGTGTCCGACAAGGATAAGGTGTTCCTCAGCCATTCTGGAGGGAGCTGTTCAGATTACAAGGGACAGAATTGAATAGGAGCACCCTACCACCCACAGACAAGTGGATAAATAGAAGTGTTCAATAGGAGCTTGGAGACTTACTGATGCGGGCCACTGCCGACGCCGACCGGCAGAGGGAGGGCGGGCTACCCAGCGGCGCGCGGAAACAGCCGGAACAAGCGCCGCACCGGCGAGCCCGTTCCTTCCCTTTCAATACTAAATGGATTCCCTTCTCTTTTTTATGATTGTGCTCTAATTTTGAGAGTTTTCCTTCAAAGTTTTGGAGGGTTTGTGCCATAATCCGAAAATCATCAAAGTGCACAACTCTAAGGATTTTACCGTGGAAAATCTTTGCTTTTGATCTTGTTTTGTTCCTCTCATGCTCATTTAAGAGAAATTAGGGCAAAATCGAATTGGTGAAACCCTAGGGCGTATCACTTACCTCAGGTGCTTTGCATCAGAGACACCCAAGTTATGGGCAAGGTGGTTATCATGGGCTGAGTATTAGTATAACACCTCTTATTATTCTGCTTCTCAAATGATGTCATTCAAGGTGTTGTACGGGAGGGATCCACCTCACTTGGTGCACTTTGGGCATAGTAGCACTCCAGTTCCTTCAGTCGAGGAATACTTGGAGGAGAGGGACAGGGCGTTGGATGAGTTGAAGAGGAATCTACTGAGAGCTCAATCACAACAACCAATCCTGATTGAGCTCTGATTCCCTCTATCATATTCTTCTAAACCAGGCCGCAAGCTTTCTACCCTTAGCTTTTACGTGAAACCAACTCAGCCACAGCCTCTCCATACAGCCCTAGAGTCACTGTATTGGGCTGATTTCTCTGTTGTCTAGTATTTTGCTATAAATAGCATAGCCCTTCTCCTCGCTATAGCTGAACACCACAAAACATAACACTTCCTCACAGCTCTATTTATAGTAGTCCATCATCCCATTAAAATCAGCCCACTCCAAATAGCACCCACAACCCACCAAACCAACCCCCATATCATCATTATCATTAATTATTATCCCTAGCCGCTATTACTAACTATTAATATTAATAATATTATTCATATTATTATTAATATTAGTATTTTTGTTTTTATTATTTAGTAAAAAAAGAAAAGTTCAAAAAAAAAAAGGGAAAAGAAAAAGGAAAAAAGAGGGGAAGAAGAGATTTTGTGCATTTCTATATTTTTTGTGCTCATCGTTGTCCCAACACTGCCGCCGCCGACCACGCTCGTCAAGGTATAATGACTTCCAAACTCAAATATCTTATTTCTGACATTTGCAGTGCACCGAAAAATCATCTATACATGCTTTTCACTAGCGTGGTGGGAGGGAATACGGTGTGTAGCTTACGACAATGCGGGTATTCTCTGTACATTCTTTTCTTTAGCGTGGCGGGGACAACTTTAAGTACCTGTGTATGTGTCATCATGTCTGTAGGGAAAGAATTGTGCATTTCAAACATGCACCCCTAAAGATCCATATACGCTTTTCTCTAGCGTGGTGGGATTGAATATCACAACAACGATATCGTCTGACGTCTATCATATACGCTTTTCTCTAGCGTAGTGGGAATACCTAACTCCCAAAATTTATCCTAAACGGGGAAGATGCCAGGAGGCTGCTGAATTTTTTTAGTGAACAAGGGACCGAACTTAAACAAAATTGCAGGGAACAAAACTCAATTCAAATAACAATGAACTGAACATTAAATCAACAAATGCACAATCATAACAAAAATGCAAAGACTAAATGACAAATTCGAAGGGGACTCGTGGTGGAAGATTTGCAGACATAATTCACATGCAAGTAAACCTATCAAGTATTGAAAATTAATAAGCAGTGAACGTCAATAAGGGATGAGTGATGGTTAATGAAACCACATGGGGAATGAATTTTCAATTACAAATGCTAATATGAGACATTCAATGAATAGCATAATCCACTTAGAAAAAACAACAATTGATACTCCTATCGATTAACTTATGGACAAAACAAAAGGAGATGAGTGCAATGAACACAATTCACCTACAACCAACATTATTTTGCAAGCAAACATATCGGGCCTCTGCAAGTAATAAGAGGTAATGTATGATGAATAAGATTGATCCCCTTTGGAAGCATAGCTACACACAACGTACTATGCACAAACAAGCACGATAAATCCGAAATGTATACAAGCTCCTATAAACTGATGTAAAGATTTCTTCATGCACACAACAACTCGCTTATGGGTTACAGAAGTAGGTCTATGGCAAAACATGCAAATTTGTAGCATGTATAGAAGTCACACTTGCGGATGCTATTAGAAGATGCAGCTTGCCCGCAAGTGACAACTGAAGGCTGCTGATGCATACAATGACTTGCCCATAAACAGTGTTAGAAGGGTAACGGAGAATACAATATCTTGTTAACAAGCGATGGTAAAAGACTCATCATATACTATCTACAAGCAAATATAGGAAGAACTATAGTAAATGAGAATGCCTACGGGTAACATTAGAAGATCTGCATTCAACATAGCTCACCCGCAGGTAATAGAGGAAGGCTTGTAATGCATATAGCGATCCTACCTACAAGCAATGATAGTGAATGTATTTCAAATCCTCTGCAAGCATAAGTAAGGAGGCTGCAATGAGAACGATACACTGCTTGTAGGCAAAAGTAATGAGCTTGTGATGAATGCAAGCATCTACAAGCAATTGTAGGAAATTCGTCAGTGTACGACAACTCGTTTGCAAGAAGTAGAGAGCGGCACGTAGCGCAACACTACGATTCACCTGTAAGCAGAAGCATGGAATCTGTAATAAAGATTGCGAACCATTGGTAGACCGAAATAGTAAATTTGCAGCCCAGGTCACCACGCCAGATAAATCAGTTCACTTGCAAACGATAGGTGGAAGTCCTTGAAGAATCATGTAGTGTATTTGCAGGCAGAAGTATACCTCTGTGGACTAAACGATGAAGAAAGTAGCGAAATGCAGTAAAAGAAATAAGCTAAATTGCATCGTCAATAACTTAATACATGACAAATGAAGCCTAGCGCAGCACCACACCACCGGATCTGCAACACTCATATAAGCGGACAGAAGACGTCTATAAGCTTCTAAATAAAACACTGTTAAATAAATATATGGGTGCGGTATCGACCGGGATATTTATTTTATACGTTCATGTTAGATCTTCAAGGCCTATTACAAGAAAAAATTCACTAATAAATATATAAAGCCGATGACGAACACGACCCTATGTTGAAAAGTAGACAAAGTCGACAAGGTTCAATCGATAAAGTTAAATAGCCCATAAATACCCAAATTATGGACGTGTTGACATAAAATCTCAACCAAAGGGGACCAAAACAAATTCAAAAATGCCTCCAAATTTCAATAAAATATATTCAATGATGTCAATATTTAAAATTAAAGTAAATCACCAAAATACTTAAAGCAAAAATACTCATCCACCCTCCGCAACAGTTTGCCGAGGTAGAAAGATATGAAAATCACTTCAGCTTACAAAGAGTAAATGTCTAGTTGAGAATATCATTAGGATTCATTTTCAATCCGTCTCTTTCCTGTAAGGACGTGTGTCCTCTAATCGGTAGTTTTGCTGTTAAATGACATCACAGGTAAACGATTATGACCGGAAACCTCTGACCGGGTGATTTTGCCGCCAAATGAAACCATTAAATTACGGTCATGGTCAGAGCCCATATGTTCCCTAACCGTTTCAAATTTTTGAGTAATGAATCAATAGGATATGATCAATAGGACATAAAACCCTCTGTTAGTTAAGGTGGATTCAAATTTTTCCCCTTAGATAAATATTCACACTAGGTCTACAAGGTACCTTTGGATGAAACATCTTATGACTGCCGACAAGGACTCTTCTGTCAAATTGGGTCGACTACTCCTCTAACTAAGTAGACCAGATACCATGATGATTCGGAATGATAGAACAATGGGATCTTGATCGAGTTCATTATTATTCCCCCTACCATCCGCTTTAAGTGCAAGGTAGTGAAATTCTAATTTTAAATATTAAAATTTCAAATTCCAAATCATACTATTACTATACGTTGGATCGTATGTATATGTAGATACTATGTATCCATTTGAAAACTAGCTTTAATCGAAAGTTATCTCTCATTATCGGGAGGGGTAATTAATTATAGGGATTTGCGCCTATAGGAAACCTGAACTCAGATCATAAAGTCCTCATAAATGATGTCAAAATCTTTGGGTAATGTCTTATTCAAAACCCAATATGCCTTCTAAAAATTCGCATCGGAACTTACTATTTAAAACTCTCCTTGATGACCAGAAAAAAGAAGAAAGAGATCGCGAAGAGGCTGGGGCACGGATTTTCGGAGCCCACACAACCCCTTCTATTTGAATTTTCCCTCATAAATCCCCCCTTAATTCCCCCTAATTAAGCTTGTAGACCCCATTATCAAGGGGTGGCAGAGATGGGGGCGGAACTTCCCCTGTTCCTCCTGTAAATCTAGACCGGCCCTGGACCGGTCTAGGGACTGGTCTATCACAGAATTATCAAGTTGCAAAACATCATGATAATTTGTTTTTCACTAAAGGACGGAGAGGAGTACACTTTTAGAATTCTATAATCAAATTCCATTGTTTTGCTATCATAAGATGAATGGACCATTTCTTTAGAGATTGAAGGGCGGGCATAAAAATCTTAGGAGGAAACTTATTTAGTTCCAAATTTTTAGTGCAAATGTCAAAGCATAGATGATGTGTATAGGAGAATCTTAATCATAAAGAGGAATGATGCTTATGTTTAGTGATAATATTGCATGAATGTTCGAGCCTATGCTTTCAATTGAGCACTTTCACCTGTCTGGCAACCTTACAATAAGAAACCAAGTTCCCCAAATCTTCTATGCAAGTCTACAAACCACAAAGGTAAATTTATATATAATGTATATATTAACAAATTATAATTCTCATAGCATGATATATTTAGATAATTTATTATGTACATATTTATATATTATATATTACAATAAAAAAATATAAAATATAATACATATAAATTTTTTATTATGTTGTGGTATTATGTGAATAATACATATAATTATTATAATAATATATATACATAAAAAATACAAGACTATATCACAACATATTTATGTATATACAGTATAATTTTTTATTATGTTGTCATATTATGTGAATAATTATACTGTATATACATAAATATATTATATAATCAATCATAGTAAGAGCATGAATGTATGAGCTTAGATGTGTTAGTGGCATTAGCATTTTGCAAAGATCTGAGTATCGCATTAACTTTTTTAATCGTCTTTCGTGAGTATTAGACAGTGTCAAATGGTAAAAAGCTATGTATCATTTTCTGAGGCAGAAGTAAATTCACACTTTTTATTAATCAATCAAACAAACAAAATGGTATCACTTCTCTCTCTCTTTCGTACAACAACGTAGCAAATTATGTCCTTAGTAGGTACTTGAAAAAATGGAAAAAGCAAAACAGCAGAACCATTCCAAAAATATACATCATGAGACCAACAATTTGTTTCTACGTTTTCTAGTGAAATTTTGTACCTTGAAAGAATAAAACAAACCTGTGGCGTATTCCAGAATCTACACCCCAAAAACGCATGTGGTTTGGAATAGTGACCAGTTCCTTTACCTCTGCAGGCTATAAAGAAGCATTCCAAACATGACAAAGGAAAATTGATAATTTACATAAGAAACAGTGTTCAGGACTAGGATAAAGAACCTGGCAAACCATAGCAAGCAATTTGTTGGCTTCTCCACAAGCTGAAGTCATTTGATCCATTACTCCACAGGGAGCCCCAACGATGTGATTTTCGACCTGAAAAATAATTTCTAACCAGTGAGATGAAAATATCATACTTATGTTTCTATTGCACACTGGAAAACTACTAGAGTAAGATTGTATATAACATTGCCTTTTGACAGAGCAAAGCCAGGTCCCTCGGAGCAATTTCTAGACCTGAATCAAGAAAAGTAACTACATCATCAGAGCTTTGAAACAAAAGATGAAATGAAGATTGCATCTCAACTATTGCAATACACAATACAAGAATGTAAATTTCCATGTCCTTAACTGAACAATTATGATCTTGATTTTCAATTACTTTCTTGATATTCATTAACATTAAGAGCTGCATGGTGGCAATATGTTAGTTTAGGTTACAATTAAGGCCTCGTTTGTTTCAGCATTTTTTTTCCTTTTCTGTTTAGAAACAGAGAAATTATTTTTTGGTCGCTGTTTGGAATGAGATGCTTCTATAAAAAAGTTTTTTAGGGAACTTCATTTTTCTACTGTTTTGAGAAGCTTTTTCATATTTACTTCTCCGTTAGAAAACTCTATTTCCTTAACCTTGTTTAAAAAAGTACATTTTACAAAAGGAGAGGAAGAATCAAACGAAGCCTAAGACTTCTAACCATGAAAGCTTTGTCAAAAGCTTCCTTTCCTAGCCTTTTAACGTTAATTTAGGTACTTATACTTCGGCTGATTCAGGTGCGCTAATAGGATGGCATGCTTCCTAACCCACTTCTTAAACTAACATGTCAGCCTATGATTTGCAAGATTTGAGCCATAATCTTAAGCGTCTGATATCAACCATAATTTATTAAAGAACAGCGGATTGTTAACCGTGCTGGTGATGTATATAGTTGTGTAATGGTGTGATAAAGAAAAACAACCCAGAGAAGCTGCAACTGCTTGCATCGTAGCAACCTCCACTGCAGCAGAAGAAGAAACACCCTTGCCTTCGGGAACAGCAGAAGAAACCTGTTAAACATATTAAAATAAGCCATGAGATGCAGAATAGGTTGAAAAAAACTATCTGCCAATAAATAACCCACGTCACACATGATAAAAAGGTGAATTATTGTGACCATGCTTAGAGAAGGTAAAAGTTTTTTTGGTGAGAATGTGAAAAAATTCAGTACAAGTGTCCCATGTGTTTTTGTTACTCCCTAGCATTTATGTTGGACCTCCTACTAAGGGATGTAAAGTATCTCACTTGGGAACCTCAGGCCTTGCTTATCTAGAAGACTCATCTAGTGAAGGATCAAGGGCCATTTCGACTTGAGCTCGTTAGGGACCATAGTTATCAGAAGGTAAGAGTTTGTTAGGTAAGAATATCAGAGAAGTCAGTAAATGTGCACCTTGAGTTTTGTAACTCCCTAGCATTTATATTGGGCCTCTTACTAAGGTACATAAAGTATCTCATTTGTTAGCCTCATGCCTTCTTTGTCCACGTTTCTCTAGGATCTAAGATTGGTGAAACTTCCCCCAATAATATAGCACGGGTTCTAATAATTTGATTAGGTACTATTTTTCTAAGGCTACAAATGAATTGAGGTGAGCCGAGCAACAGGTTGTTCGAGCTTGCGCTCATTTACCAAAAATCTGTTCAAGGTCAGATCGAGCTTCTAAGATAATTTTCAAGCTTTGTTTGTTTAAATTCATTCTTGTTCAAGCTTGATTTAAACTTCGTTTGAGAGCCGAGCGCATTTAGGCTTATAGAGTAAGCCTATAGAGCTGAACTTGTGGTTTATTGAGCTAAGCTCTTTTAGGGAAGCCAAGCTTTTGAGATTAAAAATTGAAATTTTTATTTTATAATTTTTAAGTTAATCTTATTAAACATTTAAAAAATTTATTAGTTTTTTTTTTTTAAATAAAGTTCATAAAAGCATGATCCACATTGCCTGAATTCTATTGCCTACATGGCTACAAGCTCACGCAACAAAGCTAGGCAACAAAACTTTCTCCTTCAAACTATATAAAGACTATTTGCTTTACGTGCCCAACTGATGTGAGAGTAAAAATAGGCAGGGAAACTAAGACAAGTTTTTCTTGGTTTGCTTGTTGCATGGTTGCTTCCATTCAATCGGAAAACATAATTAGACAAAGGAATTAAATACATAAACAATATTTAGATAATACATAAATAATGTAAATTAAAAAAATAATATATAAATAATAAAACTATATAAACTAGAAACATTACAATAATATGAATAATATAAAAACTTAAAATCAGAAGCATTTATATTGTTAAACTTTTATTTTTGTTTGATTATGAATTAAAATATCATCAAAATTTAGTATATGAATTGACAATAATTAAAACAACAATAACAACCCAAGCCTTTATCCCACTATGTGAGGTCGGCACATTAATCTTTTTTCTCTATTGTGTACTATTAAGCGTCAAATTCTCATTTAAATCTAATGAAAAAAAAGGTCATTTCTAAAACTTTCTAACCAATTAGTTTAAGATCTACTTTTATTTTCTTAACATAGGCCAATACATCTACTCTCCTAGCAGGTCAACAGAAGACTGATGTTTTATGTGACCAAACCATCTTAGGCCGACTCTCTCTAATCTTATCTGCCACTGGAGCTACTCCAATCTTTTCAATTAAGCTTCTTCACAAATTTTAAATGATACTATTTACGATCATAAACAAGTCAAGCAACAAGCTGCTCAAGCTTATTCATTTAATAACCGAGAATTTATTATCAAACTTATTCAATTAGTTAATCAAACGAATATGATCGAGCACTTATTGAACTGAGCCATGAGCAGCTTGTAGAACACTCGGTTCATTTACAATTCTACATTTCTCTCGTGACCAATTAATCCACCATACAAGATCATGTAGGAAGCCACTAAGGGATGTCCACATTAAGAAGTGGTGGGAGTCACCAATCCTTCAATCTACACAAAATTTCAAAAGGTAGCAAAATGGTAGGTTACGTTACTAGATATTAATATGATTGTAGCTTTTCGATAACTTGTTCCCAAGGCCCTCAAAGTAGGTGACTCTAGCACTCCAAATCAACTTGTTCTCTAGGGGTGTGATCTTTTATTGCATGACATAGCATTAAATCAGGGATATCATCTCCAAAGTTTTCATTGGGTGGCCCATCCAAAAAGGGTTACTACATATTCTATCAATAGACCCTACCCTACACTCAGGCTCAGGGAACACTTAGGTTGACATCTGATTTGCACGGTGACTAAAATGAGATGAAGAACCTATATAAATAAAGTGACTTCAGAGCTTGCAAATTGAAATTTTGCAGTCCTATCCAACAAAGCACATAGAATATTCGCAGGCGATGAATATTGAATTGTATTATTGTATTATCCAATATGGTGGTAAAACTAGCTACAATAATACAGTTAATGTTCAGAGCAGCATCATTGCTCTCGCTAAACCCATTTCTGTTCATTTTAACTCTTTAAATCCAACCATAAAATGGCATGTGATAAAGCCAAATTTTAAGTATGCATTTTGCAGGGCATCTTAGTGCACAATGAGATATAGAATTTCAGCTAACCAACATAAGAAATCAAGTCCATTTAATGCTTTGAACAAAAAGCAAATAGGTAATGCAAGTTGCTCTCTTGACTTCAAAATAATATCAAAACTTTTTTAAAGCAGTTGATTAAAATTAGTAAATTACAAGATGCAATATTTTTTAGATATTGACATAATTTTATAGAAATATTTAAATTTTTTTCTTCAAAAAGTTGGTTTTTACCTAAAAATTTTTGTCAGATGTACCTGTAGCTCTAATACATTAAGAAAATATATTTTGTCACATCTACAACTCATTGATGATGAAAAATAAAAATACTATTACCAGTATGCAGATACTATCTGTGACGTGAACTCCAAGCTCTGTCATCAAGACAAGAATCGTCCCAGCAACATATGCTGCCCACCTTAAGTAGAACACACATGTACAAAGATGAGTAACATAATAATAAGCATTTACTAGTTGAAAGAAATAGGTGACCTACTTCTGTGATTGATCTTGTGCAAAGTATCTGTAAGCCTTCTCATATGATATGGGTTGGTCAGCGTCAAGGAAATCAGAAAGGTCCATATCAAATGTTGGTGCACGGTTACTCAATTCAGACCCAAATGACACCTAAGCAGGAATTGAGTCCGCAAAAAAATAGAAAATTAGAATGTTTCGGAGGTCAAGTTCTTAAATTATTGAACTACCCATACTTTCCAACACAAATGTAAAGCTTCTTCAATCTATAAGTACATTGAGTGAATTTTTTGTTGTATTTTGAGAAAATAATATGATTTTTTTGCATAAGAATGAAAAAGGATAATTTTGTGCTAACCTCAAAAGAAAGACTTAGTGGGATAAAGGCTTGATATTGTTGTTGCTCAAAAGAAAGACTTGACTAAAATAATTGTACAATCTAAATATGGTTGACTAAGATATAACATATTTGACTTGAGTAAATTTAAAAATTCACACATGCACTAATTAAAAGAGAAGCATAATACTAAGTTAAGTGTGGTAGAGATGAGGATGCTAAGGTGGATGAGTGGTTTTACCCTTAGAGATAGGATACAAAATGAGCATATACGTGAAAAGGTTGGAGTAGCTCCAGTAGAAGATAAGATTAGAGAGAGTCGTCTTAGATGGTTTGGTCGCATAAAACGGCGGCCTTTCGATAACCCGGTTAGGAGAGTAGAGGTATTAGATTTGACTTATGTTAAGAAAGGTAGAGGAAGACCTAAAAAGACTTGGTTAGAAAATATTAGGAATGATCTTTCTTTATTAGATTTAAACGAGAATTTGACTTTTAATAGGACACAATGGAGCAAAAGGATTCATGTAGCCGACCCCACGTAGTAGAATAAAGGCTTGATGTTGTTGTTGTTGTACACATGCACTAATTATATTGATTAATAAATGATTATGTAGGTTAGGCTAGAAGTGATTTCTTACACAAACAAAGGCACTGTCCATGTCCATCCCCCAGACTTTCTCTAAATTAAACTTATACAACTAATTTCAGAGGAAACATTATCTGCTTATATAACTAGATGAAAACACTTTGAGTTCTTTCTATTATGTGCGAGAACTAGTTAGTTTAGTAAGGCATGAATCAAATCGTTAAATCTCAATTGTTACATATTGGTGTGATATGTATGTAGGAATCAAAGATGTTTGCATAAAAATATTCCAACTCAATTATTACTAGATGTGTTAAATCCTAGTCGTCCCTTAGCATTTTGATCCCACGGCTAGGATGGAAATCCGTAGGAGGCTCACCTGTTAGATCCCAGCCGCACCTTGGCATTTTAATCCCACGCCTAGGATGGGAATCCGTGGGAAGCTCACCTGGATCATGCCGATCTCCTTCCATATTTAGTTGGCTGATTTAGGAAGGATTATATTAGAGCAATTATGCATGATTTTATAATTATTTGTTTCTTTATTAAGATATCCTGTATAGATCAATAAATAGGGAAACTTTTGTGCAATAAAATTAAGCCTTTTCCCTCTCCAGTTCTCTGAATTTAACATGGTATCGAAGCCTTCATTGCCATTGCTGGAATTTTGAGTTTTTTGTATTGCCATGCCTTCATTGCCATCCTTCCCTTGTTGTTATACTACCTATAACCAATGCAGCCTTCATTGCTGCCCTGCTTGATATAGCCTTCATCGCTATTATTTGCCTCCGCAATGTCTGAAGCAAATTCCTCCCAAAGCTTTAATTAAATGGAGGACTCTATGATGCACCAAGGAAGAGGAGATCTCCAAAACCTGTAACATTCCTATCACTTAAATGGGAAGAATTATTTGAAGTTGTCTCAATTTGTGAAGACCAACTTGAAAGGGAAAGAAAAGCTAAATAACCTTCTTGGGGTAGGACCAAAGGAAGGAGATCCTAGTTTTTGGGCATGGGATGAAGCGGACTCCATGATTATGTCATGGTTGTGAAATTCCAAGACTCAAGAAATTAGTGATACTTTTATGTTCCTATCTACTGCAAATGACATATGGGATGTCGCCAAGCAAACCTTCTCAAAGGCTCGGGATGCTACCCAGATCTTTGAAATTAAGGTCAAGGTGGAGCCTATGAGTTAGCCAAGCATAAACGAGATTCTTTTCCAAACAAACATGAGAGATGTAATACTCCCTTTTATCCTCCCTTTTATCTTATTCATAGTGATATTTGGGGACCTAAAAAATTCCTAACATCTCAGAAGCCCGATGGTTTGTATCCTTTATTGATGACTGCACTTAAGGCTCTTGGATCTTTCTCCTTAAAAATAAATCCGATGTTAGCACTATCATCCCCATTTTTCATACCATGCTCCAGAACTAATTCGGGATAAAAATAAGAAAATTTCGTTCAGACAATGTTAAAGATTACTTTAACCAAACCATATCCTTCTACTCTTAAAAAGAAGGTATCATTCGTGAGTCTTATTATATTCACACCCCACAACAAAACGTGATTGAAGAAAGAAAAAATGATCACCTTCTAGCCTTCACTCGTGCACCTTTATTCCACCACAATGTACCAAAATCCTACTAGGAGGAAACCCTTATGATTGCCACAAATCTCATAAATCAATTACATTCAAAAACCTTGGGACTAAGAACACCAATGATATTCTATCCTCTTTTTACCCCGACTTTCGAATCCATAATAACCTTACAACTAGAATCTTTGGGTGCACTACCTATGTTCACATTCATAGCCAGAATAGAGAAAAATTAAATCTAAAAGCACTCAGATGTATCTTTGTTGGATATTCATCCACCCAAAAAGTGTATGTGTTATTATCCCTCCACCAAGAAAACTCTTGTATCTGTTGACGTTATATTTGATGAAAAGAAATCTTATTTCACCAAACCTCATCTTCAGGTGGAGACTGAAATTAAGGAAGATGAGGAAAGTAAGATTGTATCTCTTGACCTTCTAGCTCCACCCAAATCAATCCACGAAAACCTAAAATCAAATCCAGAGAAATTGAGGACAAAGCTATTATAGATAACATGAGGTATGGAAAAGTGTATTCCAAGCGTACTGTTGACCTCTGTGTAATGCACAAAAGAAACAAAAAAAAATTAAATCAGACCAAACCTCATATTCACGAAACCGGTAGGAAATCCCGTCAAAATCCTTGTACATTCGTCACCGTTTCGGGATTTTTGCCTAAATCTTGCGAAAGCTCCTCGATGCTCTCCTTCCTCGCGTCGTTAAAAGCCCAACAAGCGAAGCCTTTAGGGCTCTGCTTCCGTCGCTGCTTCCACACGACCCCACTCTCTGCCTTCACACGCGATCGAGCCCCAGTCGCTGCTCTTCCGATGCCATTGCTCTCCCACGACACTTCCTCTCCCACGACGCTCTTCTCCCACAAGCCTCCACGCAAGTGAGCTCCAGTTGCTACTCCCTCTCCACGCCCGACTCCACACACGCAAAGCTCTCGACCCCAAGCCGCTGCCAGCTCTCCTCCCGCCGGCTTCTTCACCCAACGTCTTCATCTCCACCGAAGTAGCAAGCCTCCAGTCCCGACATCTCACAGCCAACAGCCGAATCCCTTTCTCCCATTCGCACATTCCACGCAAGTCTCCGACGCCAATCCAGCCTCCCGTCGCCTCCGACCCTTGTCTCCCTCCCGATTCCTTCAGTTCAGAGAAGCGGAGAGAGAGAGAGAGAGGGAGAGATCATCCTCCTTACCTGTGCAAGCCGACGCCCTTGCCCTTGACCGACCTTCCTCCCTGTTGCTCAGCTTCGCTCCGTCTCCGACTTTCCCTTCCTGTTGAACAGGAAGTTACACCATTTTGATCGGAAGCAACAACACGAGCTCGCTGGCTTTGAAGGTGGCTCTCCCTCACGCCCGTTTCTTCGGCCAAATCTCTTAAACAGAGAGTTTAAGAGAGTTAAACTCTATGTTTAATAAGATTAGGTTTAATCTTATTTTGATTTATAATTAAGATAAATTAATTATAATATTAATTATAATTAGTTTATTAGAAATTATAAATTAAAATGATTTATTTATAATTAATTTAAATTAATATAATTAATTGTATATTAAAATATAATTAATTATAATTAGTTTTTTCAGAATATACGTGGTATCTGGCATATAGTAGCAGCAATGGGTTTGGAATTTGGAGACTGGATTATTGAAAGATTTGGAGATTTAGAAATTGATATTTAAAAATAGAATTTCACCATCGTGCACTTAAAGCGGATGGTGGGGGAATGGATGATAGACCCAATCAAGATCCCATGGTTCCGTCATCCCGAGCCATCGTGGTCCTGGTCTACTTAGTCAGAGGAGGTAGTCGACCCAACCTGACAGAAGGATCCTTGTCGGCAGCCATGGTTGCTTCGTCCAAGGGATCCTTGTAGACCGGGGTTGAATGTTTGTCTAAGGGCAAATTTAAATCCATCTTAGCTAACAGAGAGTTTTGTGCCCAATCGATCATATCCTATTGATTCATATCAGGATTTAACGCCATTAAGGAGCGTATCGGCTCTGGCCATAACGCTATCTGTGGTGCCATTTGGCGGCAAAACCACTCGGTTCAGAGGGCCCCGGGTCATAACGCGTTACCTGCAGTGCCATTTGGCGGCAAAACTGCCGGTTAGAGGA